GCAAATATTTGACCCGATTGTGCATGGTCCTTTTGGGTTGCCTTCACCATAGCAACTTGATAGGATGATTTATTAAGAGAGAGTAAATATTATTAGTATATTATGAGAATAATATAAAGAATAATATATGTGATAATCGTCAATCTTGAGTCAAGCCAAGTCATCAAGTCAAGCCGGTCAACTCTATTAAACCTTGTGTATTAGGGTTTGTGTTATGTTCATACTGTATAACTTGCTATATTAATGGGAAAACATCACTTGAGAAAAGTCTTGTGTTGAAAATTTCCTAAGCCCTAATGCTAATCAATGAACTAAACTGATAAAAACAATGATGCATACTCATCAGGAGTGTGTAAGATCCTTAAACAAGGCTTAACAGGGTTTACGAACCATGCGTTGCGATGCCGGACAATCACAACTGTCCCACATGAAATCTCTCTCAAATATCTCTCTGTATGAGAAATCTCTCCAAGAATGTCAAATCTCTCCCAAATCTCTCCAAGTATGTGAAATCTCTCTCAAATATCTCTCTGTATGGGAAATCTCTCCAAGAAGGTCAAATCTCTCCCAAATCTCTCCAAGTATGTGAAATCTCTCTCAAATATCTCTCTGTATGAGAAATCTCTCCAAGAATGTCAAATCTCTCCCAAATCTCTCCAAGTATGTGAAATCTCTCTCAAATATCTCTCTGTATGAGAAATCTCTCCAAGAATGTCAAATCTCTCCCAAATCTCTCCAAGTATGAGAAATCTCTCCCAAATCTCCCTCAAATAGTTCCCGTAACTTTTTAGAATCACTCGGGTCATTCCGGCCCTTAACCGGGTCAAAAACGGCTTAAAACGGGGCGAAAACGAGAAAAATAGGCTTTAGGAACCGAAACCGGAGTGAGAGGCCTCTTAGGACCAGAGACCGAGCCTCTGGTGGCTAAGAGACCAGAGACCGAGCCTCTGGTGGCTAAGAGACCAAAGACCGAGCCTCTACCTCTGTCGCTTCACGCTCTGCTCCTCTCGGTCTCTGTTCGCTACTCCGCCGCTCTGTTGCCCTCTGTTCCTTATCTCTCGCTCGGTCTCTGTCGCCCTCTGTTCCCTTCTCTCCCCTCTGTCTCTTCGCGCGCTCTGTTCCCTTCTCTCCTCTCTGTCTCTTCGCGCGCTCTGTTCCCTTCTCTCCCCTCTGTCTCTTCGCGCGCTCTGTTCCTTTCTCTCCTCTCTGTCTCTTCGTGCTCTCGGTTCCTTCCTTTCTCTTCTCTCCTCTCGGTTCTGCCTCCCTCTCTCTCTCGGTTCAGCATAAGAAGGCCGAGCCTCGGCCAGAATTCGCAGATTTGTCACTTTTAGCCCATTTTTGATATTTTTAACATTTAAGCCCGTTTTTCGTGATTTTAAAGCGGGATTTTCTCCAGAAATTTTATTTTAACATAATAAACCCTAAATATTCATAATTTAAACATATTTTTATGAAAATCATTATCTAAATAATAAAGATCTAATGGGGGATTTATTTAAGGTGGAGTGTTGACTTTGCCTTAACTTATGACACAAGCAACCACCCCACACCCACTCTATGACCAGCCATACCTCCCCACCTTACCTATGTCACTTCAATGTTCCCTTACACTCAAATTTCACTCACTCCCACGTTTTTGAGCTGGAACAAACAACCACACTCCTCATTTTCTCTCATTTCTCTCATTCCACTAAGTAACAAACACCACTTTTCTCTCAAACTCTTCTACACAAATTTTCGAGATCCAAGGCTGATTTCAAGTGTTCTTCCACACTTAGTAAGTAAAAATTTATCCTCCCTATTATTATTTCACTTCATTCTACTCAAGTCTTTGATTGCTTACACAAACTCCCTAACTATAATGTTAGATTCTCGAAAACCTTCAAGGCATCTCCAAGTGTTCTTGAATTAAACACTTCCATTCTTCAACAATCATCTACTGAAATCACTTAAGGTGAGTTCATACCCCTACATTTTCATGTTTTCTCAAGTTTTTAAGGGGGGAATACAAGTTAAAACACTAAGAACATAACTAAATTTCTCTAACAGCCTTCATCAGAAAAGTTCAACTCCATTCACGGACTGTTTTGGGCATCTTAAACATTTTTGTTTTCAAAACTGTACAAGGTGCAAATAGTTCAAGTTCTTAGCTTTAAAATGGCTACTTGCACATCTCCATACGATTTTTCTACAATTTATGGTGATTTTTACAAAACTGCCTATCATTTCAAACAACAATCCGGACCAGTCTGTGATTTTGGACTTTTTCATCCAAGTTGGAGGTCATTAAAAATCGTGATAAAAATTATGAGTAAACTAGACACATTTTGTGAACTCTCAGAATTTACGGATCTAGTTTTCGACTTCGTATGATTTTTCTATGATTTTTCCAAAAACAGGGCAGAATGGCTAAAGTTAGCCAACAGCATGTAAATATCATAACACTTTGTATTATGTTGAGCAAAGTGTATAATCATAAGTTCTAATATTTGAATGTGTTTCCTTGTTAGTTTATCATTATGAACTGAAACTAAGTCATTCATATTAAATATTATTCATTCATTTAGAACACGTATTATTTAACTATAAAAAGTATAGTTTGATAAATTCACAACACTAATACATTTCCATAAAAGAATTCATACATATTACATACATTTTAGATAAACTATAATAGGTATAGTTTATGATACATCACTCAACGCACTCGTACAAAAAGGGTACATTCATACAAGAAAGATTTATATTCACACACACATTTCACGTAAACTTGTTAACCTATGTTGTGAGACTCTCTCTCTCTCCGTACGTCCGAGTGTGGGATATAATTCCTGGTAGTTATAATCAGAATCTCCTTGAGGGAGAACGTGATACTTGTATATAGATCTATATTGGGTTTGACACCCCACACCTTGCTGCTAGCTACAGTGGGACCTGCAGGTCTACGGGTGACAAATGTCATTTCATATTCGCGACGCCTGAGAAACGTTGTGGCAGGTTCACATAGTCACAGTATGATTATAACGACTCACATAGGGAGATAACAATTCACAAAGTTTACGGGGTTTCATAAACCGAAGTAGGTTTTTAGGTTGATAAAAGAAATTTACTTTCCATATCATTTTAAACTCACGACATTTCTACTAAGAAATGATGATTTCTCATACATTTTAGTCTTTGGTTATAAGGCTACATTTTTCGGATTTCAAGGAAAATATCGGATTTTTCTGAAACAAACGCGACATTTACATGTGAAAGACTTCTACTAAGTTTATTATGATAAAAGCTTATGAACTCACCAACCTTTGTGTTGACACTTTTCAAACAACTTGTATTCTCAGGAAAACACTAATCAGATTATCAAGTGCTTTTGAGGATGGGACGTTAAGGCGTCAAACTTTTCATATTTTGTCAACATATTGTAATTGATTTTGAAACATGTAGTTCATACAAGTGATGTAACTTTTTCAATTATATATATGTTGGTTGTGTTGCTTAAATTACTATTGAAATTGTGGTTATGATACTATACATGAAGTCCTCCACCCCCGGACGTTTCCGCCATCCTTGGTTTGGGGGTGTGACAATATATAGTTGTTTGATTAATATAAGTCATAGATTAATTAGTATTAATTTGGTGACTTAAGGAGATTACTTAAATAAGAGGGTATAAACTGTCAATTGTTTGATAGTTACACTTTAGACTGTAAATCCTTATTGGATAGAGGATGGACGAATTCTAGGGCTTGGGATAGCCTCAAATTCGTCCAAGGGTTATCCAAAGTAAGGATTAGGATCACTTAAAGTCTAAGTTATCCAATTAGGGTTTAAGCTGTAACCCTTAAGGAGTCTACAAGTATAAATAGACCCTATGGGATAGAGAATTCGGTACCCCATCATAAGTAAAGATACTCTGGCCGAATTCCTCCCCACTCCTCTCTCTCAAATCATCCTCCTTGCTATTTGGTGTTTGTAAGCCATTAGAGGAGTGACAATTGTGACTCTAGAAGCTCCAAGACAACAAGATCAACAAGGAATTCAAAGGTATGATTCTAGATCTGTTTCAATATTGTTATTACACCTAAATAGTCATTAGAAGTCTTGGATTCAAAGCATGTTTGATTAGAAAGCCTAGATCCAAGCATTAGGGTTTTGCATGCGCACATAAGAGAGTTCTTATGGCTAAAACCCATCATTATCATGCATGGTTATAAGTACTCACATAGAGATCCATTACCATCTCTACTTTTCAGGGGAGATAAAATTCATACATTGTGGCGATACAAAACAATTCATACGATAATGCAAATATTACAATACAGTTATAGATAGGAAAATATCAGATTTTCTGGGAAATACCACCTTTCACTTTCTTTTACATACATCAAATACAAAACAAGGAAAACTTTTGGGATTCATTCATTTACACATGTTTTGAAATCACACACATATATATATATATATATATATATATATATATATATATATATATTATATATATATATATATATATATATATATTGGATCATCACATCATGTTGTAAACAAATTTTACAGAAAATATCGGATTTTCTGGGTTATATCATCGGTAAAAAGCTTTTTAGTTAAACTTGCTTATGAACTCACCAACCTTATATATATGTTGACCGTTTTCAAAATAACTAGTATTCTCAGGTAACCGTTAAGCCGAAGAATCATCACGTGTATTTTGGGAATCTTATTTTTGTGAAATGTTAACTATCGCTCAATTTATGATCTGAATATGTAAGATTATACAATGTACTTGATGTGAACAATGTTGGTTGTAATATGTAATGTTTGTCAATGATCGTATTATGATTCATGTATATTCATTGTAATGATAATTCAATTGATAGTCACACGAGCCTTGGACGTTTCCGCCGTCCGGTTCGAGGGTGTGATATGGAGCGTGTCACCAGAACCCTAGAGTTTTCCAGCATAGGTGGTTCCTATTTTAGCTTCACATCGTCTCTAAGTTTTTATGTTTTAATCCATATTTCACCCTCTTCCATTTCCTCGTTCATTTCCGTTATTTGGATGTCATTGACATTCTTTGCTACCTCACCTACAGGGGTCTCATTGTTCTCTAGGAGATTACTATCTTCATAGTAATCTTCTGACGGGTCAAATATGAAAGGGAACCAATTTTTGTTGAATTCTACGATTCCTAGCTTAAACACCTTCCCTTCCTGTGAGATATGGATCTCCTCGTTTATGATAGCCCTTCTAGTGGTAAGAATTCCGATCTTGACATGTGATAGGTCCAGTCTATTTGGAATATCATCGAATAGTGCTATAATTTTCCCAAGTGTTTTTGTGATCTTCTCAAAGTTAGGCTGGCCCCATAAGAATAAAGGGGGTCCCACGATTTTGATCCATGCCACCCCCTCTGCATGAGTCTCTATCTTATCTGCCCAACTCAACCATTTTAAGTGTTCTTTCCACCTGTTGTCATCCTCTTTAAACTCCTTGGTGCACCTAGAATGATCAAAGATGATAAGTACCTTTAGACCACTGATGTATTTTATCTTAATATCGGTTTCGCCTTTGGCTAGGATAAGTTTAGGGAGATGCCCTAGATGATCTAGTGAAGTTACTTCCGCCACTATTGTCGTATTCCTCATCCAACTAGAGGTAGAGGGTTTGCGTTGCAGGGTAATGGTAGTGGGAGTGGTGGTCCATGTGGGGTTGGGATCGTTGTCATGGTTTTGTTTGTTGTGCAAAACGGTTTCATGGGGTCAACATATGAACAATGGTTGCGAAAACTAGCTCCCTGAACACATCTGTTTTTGTGTGTCGTCCCCCTTTGGTCACCCTTCGCTCTTCCTTTCATTACCTGGTAGGTTTGGAGGCTTGGCGGATCCTTTCTTGTCTAAGGCAAGGTTTACCTTTATAGTCTCCCCTCTGAGTTTAACACCATTCAATCTCTTCTCCAACTCTTTCATATTCTCCACTCATTTGAATCGGATAAACGCATAATGCTTGCTTTTTTTTCCCGAGGTTTTGTCCCATGTATATGTTTGAAAGCCTCCCAAAGCTCTCAAAGGATTTCATAATTTCATTCTTGGTTGCTTCTCCTAGGATGTTTGTTGCAAAGTACGTGATCTCCTCTGTTGATACGTTTGCCGACTTTTTTTTTTTCGACGGACGTCCATCCATTTACTTTCTCTCATCTCCTACCTCCGAGAATCAACTAAAACCTGAAAATTAAATAGTTTGGTTTTTAGTTTCTATAGATACCAACATTTTACACAACTTCATTTAGTGTATAAAGTTAACTGTTTAACCGCGTTTACACATAAGATGATCAACATACATTTGCGGTATGTATACTAACTAAATTAATGAACATATATTTATGATGCCATGTGCTCTCTTTTTGTAAATTAGTTTTTCCATTAAATTTTAACATTATGTTTAACCAAAAAAATAAAAGAATGGTAACCAAAAACACATAAACATAAAAAAATTACAACATATATAACACAAACATAACGGTTATTTCAAAGTCAAAACCATATTTTTTCTTTCCAATATTAGTTAAAAACAGAAAAAAAAAACCATGCTTATTCTGATTAAAATTTACATTTATTTTGGATCTGTTTAGAAAAATTAGCTGGTTGCTGTTAGCGGGTAATTTGTAGCTTGTAACGTTTTGTTAAACGCTACATGAAGTAGCTTTTGGATTTGGAGTGTTTTGTTTAACCCAAATACTAGAAGCTTGTAGTAATGAACAAGAATTTTTGTTCAAAACGGAGCGTTTTGTCAAAAACTAGAAGCTAGAAGCCCTCAGACGATCTCAAATGCTCCGTGCCGAACACGCCTACTATCTTGGTCACTCATATATGTATATAAAAATAATTTATCATAGAAAATACATATAAAAATATTAATTATATACAAAATTGCTCCCTTAAGTCACGCTTTACAAACGATATGACTCACCAATGCTCGTAAAAGCTTGAGGCTTAACATTACGACCAAAGTCACGCTTTACGTTATTTAGAACATTGTTTATGAAGGATACTTCCCTAGCCTATACGAGAGCTTCTTTGACTTCATAACGAACCAAATACAACAATCGATATTATTTTCCACATCTATACCAAGTGCTATAGGAAGAGTCTAGTTGTTCTTATCGATAGCAACCGCTACAAACATTGTGTTTAGGTAGTCATCTCTTATACAGACACTACCTATGAAGATGACAGATAACAAACAGCCTATGAATGCATGAAAATGTATTTTTTTTTTTGGAAACACAAAACAATTAGTTTAGATGTAGAAACATTATCAATTTAAAAAATAATAATAAAACAAAGCTTGGAAACGATTAATCACATCAGTTTTGATATGAGTGTAAGTATGCGTGATGGTTCGCCTAAGGTTGTGTAGTTAAACAAGCAGATTGTTAAAGCTTTTTTTTGTGCTCATCCTGTGAGAAATTCATATTGAAGTAGTTATAAGAGATAATTACAGATGATCGGAAGTAAGCATCTAAGTACATGCACACACACACACACACACACACACACACACATATATATATATATATATATATATATATATGGGAAAATTTAGTTTTTTAATCCACTGCGTAACAGGTTTTCAGAACGTGTATCTGTAACTCCGTGTTGTCATTTCAAAGTACGAGCCTGACAATCGTACACATATTTCTGTTTCGGACATTGGTACTCCGGAATGTACGAAGATTTCCAGAGCTCCGAAATGAAACCTTGACTCCGGGATGTTCCGTTACGAAGAAAGTGTGGTCAACGACGCTCCAAAATTAATCCATGACTCCAGAATAACCTATTCCAGAGAAAGTGGTCATTTAAAAAAAATTAATTTGGTTGTTTATATTAAAATACTTGTTTATATGAGTTAGTTTACTAAATTTCCCCATAAAAAAATATTGGGAATCTTTTAAACCAAAATTGATTATTTGGTAGGGTTATATTGACATTCTTATTATTATTATCACATCCCAACTTCTTTTTCCACTATTTCCCTTTATAAATATATTTGTTTACGGATAAAAAATACACAATATGAGGGTGTTTGGCTAAATTTATGACCTTTCATTCATAATCACTTTTCAATTTATAGCTTATAACTTATAAGCTAATAAGTTATTATGAACTTACTTATAGATTTTAATAGTTATTATGGACTTACTTATAGATTTGAATTTATCGTATTTCCAATATAACACCTTGATCATTTATTTCTCATATCTATTTCATTAAAACCCATATAAATTCCTCCACTGACCCGATCATATTTTTACGACTCAATTCCAATTTAAAAGTAATTTATGGTCGATTTTCACAATCAAGTTTTATACTGTTCTAACTTTTAAATTTCTTTAAGATAAATTCTCATTAATGATGATTTTCAAGTTCAAGTTGAATATGTTGGTTATATAACTTGTGATCTCAAGGGAGTAGGGTTTAAATTTTGTTTTGTATTTTCTTTTTGAATGTTTTAGATTTGTGAAGAGCTTTATTTTATTCGGTCGAGTTTTATTAATTTAATTATTTATTAAAAATATTATTTATTTTAAGTGTAAAACAACTTTAATGTTGATCTTCCTTGTTATGCACAAACATTCAAAACAATGTGTAAGATGGGAGTGGAGACGCACATAATTTGACCTGATGGCTTATACCTAAAATATTAAAATATGTTTATGCTTGTATGACCAAAAAAAAAAAAAAACTTTATTTCAATACATCTTTCAAATTGAACCTGTAATTGACTATTTTCATCTATTGATTTAAAACACATTCTTTTAATTCGAATCATATGATTCTTTTAAGATTAATTAAGTTTTTAGTGATAATTGTTTTTCTCATTATTGGAATTATTTTGCTACCCACAAGTTCCCATGATCTAATCTAGGAATAACCAGTTAATACCAAATCCTGATCTACTAATGTCTTACATGAACCGGTATCAAATTATACCGAATTTAAACGTATGAGACGATATTCGATACTATAAATCACAAAATCTGGGATTCGGTATGCTAGTACTGAAAACCAGTATCATTTCTGATACTGATATCGGTACCGATAATATTAATTATGTTTGGTAGTTAATATTGATTTTTGTTCAAATTCAGTTTTCAGAAAATCACATATTGCCATTTGGTAGTTGTCATTTCTTAGTGGCCATTTGGTGGTTGTCATTTATCGATGGTTATTTTCCAGTGGCCATAATATTGTAAATTTCGGTCCTTATTTTATTGTTTCGTAGGTTTTAAAAATTGATTTTGGTTTTAAATTATTTTAAATGTCAACGTGTATTATTGAAACAAAATTTCATAGATAAATATAGAGAAATATATAATGTTAAAAAACTAAATCAATGTTATTAACCATATAACTATATTTTTTTACACTAAATTAAAATAATGGTTTTAAGCATTATGATTATCTTTCACAATATCATAAGAGAGACATCTCAATGATCTATACTTAATGGGTATGTGAATGCAATTCTAAATTTCTATACAACTTATGTTAAATTAATTTAAAAACTACTTATTCAAGCATTTTCAATTTCAACTATGATAGTTTCTTTGAACGCCAACCAATATTTGTAGTGTAGCTGTCTTTAATTTAATATAACTATTAGTTAAATGTAGTTTTTAAACTAATTTTATATTTAATTATTGTTATTATTAATTAATTTAAAACTAATTATTTGAATATTTTTAATTGCTTAGTTTAGTTTACTTGATATTTCAATGATATCAACCTTGAGTATGAATATAATTATGGGCAAATACCATAAAAGTCCCATATTTTATACACTTAATTGAAAAAAAACCTTTTAATTATTTTTTGTAACAATAAACATTTTCTCAAAAAACTTTCAATTTTTGGTCATTACCCGATAATCACTTGGGTGCCTTAAGGTGCCGATTATCCTCTGCTCCTCCTGTTCTTCTTCACCAATTCCTTGCCTCTCCTCTCCTCGACACAACTACCGATTTTTCCCTCTTTGATCCTGAAACATCCAAAAATTATGACCCAAAAATTTCATTTTTGATTTAAGTAAAAAGGGTATTCAAAAACATTGTTCATACATCCCAATAGAATAAATATGTCAAACTTCATAAAAATCAGAGTATATCCCATAAACAGAATCCATATGGTGTGTGCGATGCAGTCAACTCGAGTCATTCCCATTGGAACCGAAAGTACCTGAAACATAAACTAAAAACCGTAAGCGCAAAGCTTAGTGAGTTCACCAAAACACCACATACTACACATACAATAAACATATAATGAGCCTCGCCCCGGCATCGGATCCCGCCCGGCATCGATCCCTGCTCGGTAATAGATCGGGCCCCGCCCAACATACATATAATATATATCAAATAATCACATACACATGCAATAATCACAAAGATACATATCATACAAATGGTCATCGAGCCCTAGCTATAGCCCGCTAACCATATAAACACATAACACATGCAAGAGTCACGCATACAACATGCATACTATAACATAACATGGGTTGGCATTGGTACCTTCGACCCGCTAAATCCAGTGGGGAAAACTCACCTCGAAAAGCCGAATGAAACGAATGATCCATGACTGCTGGTCCTACAGCTCCCCAAGCTATCAATTGCCAATTAAAAACTAATTAACATTTGGGATCTACATCATAACCAAAAATCCTTACTTAGGGTAAAAATACCATCTTACCCCTAACCTAGCTTGGTCTAAGAATGGAGCCCTTAACCACAATCCAATGGGCCCAAAAGTTACATAATCCATCAAGGCCAAAAATATGGCCCAATTTCCAATTAGGCCTAATTCCTTCACATAGGCCTTATCACAAGGCCCAATAATGTTCCTTAGCCCAAGAACTCCCAAAATCAGATGGCCCAACTAAGCCCTAACCTTCTAAGCCCAAAACGAAGCCTAAACCCAAGGCCCAAGAAAAAGAGATTTACGGCTCCGAGAAAAAGAGCTTTACGGCTCGGAAACTCTGCTTCAGCGAAGCTCGGTTTTTAATAAAATTCTGTAAGTGAGCTACGCCTACCCTATTTTAAATATAACTTTTATTTAAATATAGTAATGTTATTAGGACCTTATAATAAATATTTGGGATATTATTATGAGTTATATAAGTGTCGTTATAATATTTTTTTAATCACTCGCGGTACGGGGAATCTAGTTTGGAAGGCCGCTCGGGTTGCTGGATTCAGAAGTGTTATATGCCAAAATGATCCTGCCCTCCGGTGTTTCATGTTTGACCCCTGTACATAGTAGTTGAGAAATATTGTTTAGCGATTATATAAAAATAATACTAATAATAATACTAAGCCTATTAATTAGTTACGATGAATATTAGACTAAAATCTAGTGATAATGATACTAGGTTTTCTCAAAAGAAGTTGTTTTAAGTAAACGAAGCGTTGTTCGAGTACCGAGTCACCACCTTATCAGGTGAGTGCGTAGTTACTTTCATCTTAGACATAGATATGAAGTATTTTATATAAACTACATGTTATCTGTGCATATTATCTGTATACTTGCTATCTATGCTGGATGGACGATTTATACATATTTTAAATGATTTAAACTGTATATGTAATTTATATCTACATAATATGTTGGGTAAAATATAGGTAGATGAAATATGAGTTGGATGATAAGATGAGAGGTGGTATAGACCATGGGATAAGGGTGAGAGGTGAATAATGAGAAAAGCCTTTTACCCAAGCGTTGGCCCTGTCATTTAGCAGAGTATGGATGACAACCACAGACTATTCTAGACAGTCCAGTGGAACACTAGCAGACTCACAGCTTGTAGGTGTTGTGGACTTGATGTTCACCGGTGTACTCTACAAACCAATTGACATGTATTGCGAGTGGAATCTCGAAAACGATACTGTCCAGAAACGAGATAAACCCCGATGACTATGGAATTAGCACCTGACAGCTATGGATTTAGTGTCTGTTGAGTAAACCCCATCGACTATGGAGTTAACGCTTGACAACTATGAATTTAGTGCATGTTGAGAAAACCCTGGCAACGATGAATTTCGTGCCTATTCCTTAGGGATAGGATAAAGAAAATAATGGAGATGGATAATTAGGTGGATTGTTTTGATGTTTGAACATAATAATTATATTACTGTGGGTTGAAAACCCTATGTACTCACCAAGTTTCCCAACCTGACCCACTCAAGCTTATCTGTATCATAGGTGTCGATACGAAGTTACAATATACTAAGAGATTAAGGAGATATAAATCACTAGTGATAATGAATGTAAGTTCTGTTTATGCTTATGTTTCTGTATCGGCGATGACATCCCAAATGTTTTAAAAATGAATAAAAATACATTTCTTCGGGAATGCTTTGATAACGCATTTATCATGTTTTTCTGGGAACAAATTCTGCAACATTCTTATTAAAAGAAGTACTCTGATTTTTATAAAACATAAACAAAATCGGTATTTTCTGGTCGTGAAAATGGGGATGTCACATAAATTAACCCTATAAGGTTATATTTAAATTAATAATTTAAGTATTTATACAAATTGTTCCAAAATCATATCTTTAAAATGATAATGGTTTATATCCAACAATAAATTAAAACTAATAAATTAAGTATAATATGTTAAAAGTGGAAAAACATAATTTTATAAGTACAAGTAAATATATTATTTTAATATTGAAATTTAGTTTATATATGATTACGCTTTAGATTTGACATTTATTTAACCTTATAAACTAAATTATAATTATTATTAGAAAAAAATTGAAAAGTCATGGGAGTTTCAAATGAATGTGGTGAAAGAAAAAATACATGAGAGTTTCAAATGAATAGTTGAAGTCTTTACACATATATGTTTTTTTAAATATAACATTAACGTTGTTGTTAAATTTGATATAATAATTGTTATAATAAATTCATATAATATATTAATGATTTTGAATTTTATGATAATATATACATCTATTATAAATGCATAATCTCAATCGTTTGAATGACTTCTACCTGTGAGTTACACATGAATAAAATTAAATATAATATATGGTTTAATGTTATTTATAGTTGTTGTTATTATTAATTATTTTTTTAAAATTTATTTGCTTAATGCTATAACTCTTATCATTATAATTATTTAAAACATCAAACATTATTTTTTGATTTTAAAGGTAACAATATAATCATTTATATAGAGTTATTTTAAATTATTGTTATTGTAAGTTATTTTAAGCTACTTATTTGAAAATGTTTAACGATTATAAAAATATCTTTAGGAAATATTTTATTTAAATTGAGATTACAATTTAGTTTTTGCATTTTTCATTAAAAAAACTAGAAAGGTTACCCCCGCTACGCGGGGGCCAGAAGGTTTCAATACTGTTTCCGAATTGATAAATATGACAGATGTAAAAAGTGCAATGATAAAAAAACCTGGGGGCCCCATATCATTTTTTTTCATGTTTTTATGAAAAAAATGTACAAATGATGTAATAGAAAGAAATAAAAGTAGGATGCTATAATACACAAAAAATGAAAGTATATGGCTATAATTAGAAAGATTTTTTTTGACAGGATTAAAAAAAATGATAAAACTATTGGTGAGGAAGGGTAAATGATATCTCACAATTTGCTAGCCAAACACTATTTATTTTTTAATCCATACTAAGATTTTGAACTCAACGCTAACGGTTGCTGTTGTGCAAGATAAGGAACTTCCACAAGTGTCCCAAAAACATCATCTCCAACAATAACTGTGTTCCCTTTTCAAGCAGCTTTTCTCTTGATATACCCTAAACCAATATACTCATTTCTCCCTTTTCCACCCGTATAACTTGTCAACTTTCCTACCTACAAAATAAAACATATTATAAGATATCTTGGTTTCTTTATTTTTAGTTTTTAATTTAAAAAAAAATTAGATCATACCTTCTTTCCTTCAACTGTAATTGGAGTACCGGGTTTCACTAGGGATGAAAGTTGAATGCCCCATAACTTCTGTTTTATGCCATTGTATGTGATTAATCTGGATATGGTTTCTTGCCCTTTCTAACAACCTGACACGATTTTTTACTTTTTACTTTTTATTTTAATAAAATATTAAAAGAAAAAATATAAAATATTTATTACCTCTGTTTAAACACACTGCATTCCAAAGACCAACCTCCAGAACATTAAACTCATCGGTAAGCTCATTACCAGGTGTTGGGCTTCCTATACATTCGAAAAATCTTTCCAATTATGGAATTGTACTTTTAATTATTTTTTTAATTATGAAAGTAAGTTGCTATTTTCTTATTTGACCTTGAAGATTTCGATATGTTTGAAATGAATTTGAACCCATTAGAGTTGCATTGTGAGTTAAAAGAGTTTTCCAAAGCATTCCTGCAGCTAATGGTGACATCATCAGTGAGAAACTTCTTTAGAGATCACATTTCCCACTGCCACAGTTACTGGATTACCACTGACCTGGAATTGTAAACTTTTTAAATAAATTCTCCAACTAAATAGTCACCAATTTTAGCAAAATAATAATTATTGTTATTACTTTAATAAAAGTGCATACATAAATAAATTACATTGTAATGCTTATGTGATCCGTAAGGCTGTCCAATAAATATAGTTTCAAAGTTATTTCATTAGAATATGTATGAAATAGTCTAAAAATCTGCATTAAATCCCTAATATAAAAAGCAAGAAGTTATAACCCTCAATATGGGAAACACAGGGGAATCGGATAAGGAGAAACAGACGATGACGTTGGTTGAGGGCATGTTAAAAAATCAAATCGGGTGTCCGGTTCACCAACCTCACAGTCGCTGGAAACCCAGATAGAACCAAAAACCCACATAGAACTACCTTTGGCATATTATCTGACGCAACAAACAAATCACAAACCATTAGGTCGACCTAACATTAAGTTAGATGTAATTACATGCATGATTTTATGTTTACCAATCTATGACAGTTTCCACAACATGCTTTTTGCACTGTACAAATGTCCAAAATAATGTTCAGGAGACGAAGGAGAGTTGTTGAACGTGTATGAATGTGGCTAATTGTTGCGTATTTTTCGTTTATTAGACATTCATTAGATATAAGAATGTCCAGCAATCCAACGACTGCAGCCAATGGTGTTGTCAGTTCACGGTTGTCAAATGGTAACGTCAAAATCCAAATTGTTAACAGAAGTAAAAAAAATTAGGAAAAAGATGAATCAATCATGAATATTAACCTCAGATTTGCTATAAATTGGCTGTTGTAGTTGCTAGATGCCCCTGCCTTTGTTCTTGCATCCAAATGGCTGATTAATTCACCGACAAATGAATAAGTGGAGAAAGCGGTAACCCAACTGAAAACATTGGCGATTACAGTAAACACAATCCTAGCGGAGGTAGGCGACGGTGGAGGTGGGAGACGATGATCAAATCTAACTACCACCAACCAAAATCAGAGCAAGCAAATTGAAATTCGGAAGCAAAAAATAAAAAATAAAAAATAAAATAAAACTCTATTTCGATGCGTATACCAAAAGTAATCCCCAGAAAGAAAACAAAGAACAAAAATTTAGAAAACAAAGCAGATTAAGCGAGGGAAGCTTAATATAGAAAAACAAAGACGAAGAAGAAACATACCTGGCCTGAAGAACGACAAAAAGACGACAGTCGATTGACGGGATGCCTCCAATTTAGGCGTAGTTGTCCGCTTCATGTTGAATCATCACCACCAGTCGACTTATTCACTGCGTACCCCTTTCAAGTCCCATTAGATAACAAAAAACAAAATCGAACCCTAAAATCGAAAGTTGAGAAGTGATTAAAAATCCGATTTCATCAAAGACTGACGGCTGAAAGCGAAAACGTACAAAATTGCAAGATATTCTTACCTGATCAAAAGTAAAGAGGCGGTGGGGAAGGATCCGGAGGAAGTGACCATCGTATCGCTTTTGGGTTTCAAAGCTGATGGCACGTTCTGCGAGACATCCTACACATATTTCTCGGCCACCCACTCGTCTGCTTCACTACCTCGCCACCGCTTGTGTCCGCTCGTTCTATTAGCAAAGCCATAAGAAGGAGAGCAGGAACGTCGATGAAAACTCGGGGAGTAGAAGAAGACGAAGAAGCAGTCGATAGATTGAGCAACGATGAAGGATAGAGTTAGCGGTGGTGGCGAGACCTTTATCGGGTTTAAGTGAGAAGATCACAAGAAGAATGTAGAAGTGGTGGTTACCCGGGTGGAGTTAAATTACCCTTGGTGGAGTTAGTTACTTTAGCTAAGTATGGAAAATTTTAATATATATATATATATATATATATATATATATATATATATATATATATATATATATATATATATATATATATATATATATATATATATAAATATATAATTTATATTTAAGTTAGTATTGTAATGTTATATTTAAATTAACAATTTAAGTATTTTGCCCAAAACTACAAGGAAATGAGCAATTAGCAGCGACAAAAGTTGTTGATAAAGGATTGAGAAGTCGCGCGCTAAAGCTAATAGCGGTGACACGTCGCCGATAAAGAGTCGTCGCTACTGCTTCGTCGCTATTGATCAGATTGGCACCGCTAAAGACAATTGTCACCGTTAATGCACCTGTCGCCGCTAATACTTTGTGCCGCTGCTAAAGAGAATGTCGCTGGTAATAACGTTTTTCATTTTTTTTTTTTTTTTTTATATTTGCGATTTTGGGTATAATTTATTCCAAATACTCTTATAATTAATTCTATACCAAAAATTACGTAACAACATCAAATTAAATACCAAATACTGTTATAATTAATTTAATACCAAAATAAAACAACCAAAAGTTTGATAATTCTAACAAGTAGCAAAGTAAGTTTTACAATTCTAACAAATAGTAAAGTGTGACAAGTATAACATACAAATAAATATCCTCCCTACATATCATCATCTTTGTTCCCATCATTTCCTCCAAGATTATTCCGTGATTGAAAAAACAAATAAAGCTCCTCCCTACATGTCGGTTCGTTGAGCAATGCCCGAAGATTTCCCAACTACATAATAAATAACAACATATATAAACTATAAGTTATATTTTCCAACTAGGGACGAAAACACAATTACCAAATCTACATGCATTTTATGACGCCAAAGTACATTGCTATTTTTAAACTAAGACAAAAAAGCAAAGTACATTGTTATTTCTTACATATGGGACAAAAACTCAAATACCAAAGATTTTAGCAAATACTCACCAAAAACCAAAATGACCAAATCAACATATATTTTATGATGCCAAACTACATTTCTATTTTTAAACTAAGCCAAATAACCAAAGTACATTGTAATTTATTGCATTTGAGACAAAAACCTAATTACCAAAGCTTTTAGCAAATAATCACCACAAACCAAAATGACTAAATCAACATGCATTTTGTGATACCAAAGTACGTCACTATTTTTAAACTAAGACAAAAAACCAAAGTACGTTGCTATTTGTAGCACTTGGGAAAAAAATTAATTACCAAAGCTTTTAGAAAATAATCACCACCAACAAAAATTACCAAATCAACATGCATTTATCGAAATTAAATAATCTTGTTTTACCTGTGATGGTTGTGATGATTGTGGTGGTGGTTGCGACGACTGTGAAATCGGCGGGAGAGCAGAAGGTTTACGGCCGATGCCTTTGATATGGCCACATCGCTCTCCTAATACTTTCTCATAAGTGGCTCATCCTTGAGTGGGTGTTAACTCACTTTCACCTTGGGTTTGTTCTAAGAGCTCTTCGACTAACCGATTTTGTAATTCCCAAAAGTGAGTATCAATTAAGTATAAATAAACACTTAATTATATGATAAAATTATAATTAAATACTTACATATTGTTGTTCCGCATCGATAGTAACAAATACACCATCCCTATCGGTATGAGCCTTGCGAAACGTTTCCACTCTCTTGAGGTTCTGTTTAATATTAAAAATTAGATTATATTTTAAATAAATAATTACATGTATCGTACGTTACCTTCTTATAGCAAGTACTGCTATACGAGCTCGACCCCCCCCCCCCCCCCCCGATTCACATTCGTTTGCATTTGAAGTATTTTTTTGTTCCTTTCTGAATCAATTCTGTGTTTGTCCATTTGGAAATACTCAACAGCTTTCTTCCAGTTATCAGCATCCATACCCTCTGGAGGGTTGGTTAATGCTCTTGGGATATCTTCATACCCTCCGACTATCAAAAAATATTCTTTTGTGTCAACTTTCCGTTCTCGATAACCTTTTAACAAAGCTGCTTGAAAACTCTCTGTCAACATATTAGTTTGTACATCGTGGTACATATGATCCAAATCAAACTTTGTCTACAAAAAAAAAGTTAACCAAGTAAAAACCACTGATAATTAACCATATAAAATATTTTTAAATAAATAATTACCCTTAAATGTTGTATTACGGCGTCCTTTATTGCAGGGGAAACTTTTTTCCAAGTCCATTTATCAAAAGGGAGAATATGCTACATTGTTTTTCCAATTTCTCGTGAAAACATATCTTTCGGCTCTCCTACGAGATCATATGTTATATCCCTATCATACTCCATGGTAATCGGTTTTCCCTTATTCTGTAATATCGCTCTTTCAAGCTTTATATTTGTTGCTTTGCCTCGGACTTTTGTACGTGCACGTTGCTCAACTACAAATATACTTAAAAATTATTAGAAACGATATTTAATTTATAATACCTGAATAAAAATAGTAAATAAAAATTCATAATAAAACTTACGGTCCTATTCATGATGACCAACACCTCTACCACCTGGGAAAGGTGGGTCCTCAACTCCATCACCCCATGTCCATAGCCCATAACAACAACCATTGTATACATAAACAAAAGCCAAATTGACAACATTTCCTGCAAAATTGTAAGATACACAGATACAATTTTTATTACAAATTCACATTACATAGAAATAAATGTTTACATAGGAATACACATTTCTATTTAAACTAAAACTTTCTAGTATTTGTATATAAGTTTTTAACCAATTTTATATCATTTTTTTGTTTTTTTTTCAATTATACCAATATTTTTTTATTTTCCAATTATAGCATCCTACTTATACCAAAACTTTAGATTTGAATTTATTGCCTTTTTTGAAAGAGAAAAAAAATGCCTTTTACTTTTCAAAATTTCATATCGATAGTTTGAAATATTATGCAAGAATGAACATCACAACAACAACAACAACAATAATAATAATAATAATAATAATAATAATAATAAAACAAATGTAATGTATACTTTATAACACATCGATCTGTGCACCGTATAATGTGATTATCATTGAAAGTTTATGCATGGGTAATATATTATTAGTTAATCAATGAAAGCTAAAATATATTGAAAAACTTACTAACCTTTTACCATATCATTGATTTAATTAAAGAAAAATTATATATATATATATATATATATATATATATATATATATATATATATATTCTCTTACTTATAAATAATAATATAAATAATTTATTAATTTTATTTTTTAATTTTATTTAGACCAACTTCACATACTTTCACATATATAGATAATAACATCCTATTTATATATAATACATAAATTTCATATTCATATACCACATATACAACAAACATACATACACTCACATACACACATAATTACATCCTACTTATATCAAATACACATAATTTCACATAATAACAACATACTTCTACCAAATACTCATATACCATATATACATCAAACACACATACATTGATATATATACACCAAATTTACATAGATTCACATACAAATATAAAATATACATACATATGACAATTTTCAAATAATTGAGACACATACACATATTTTGCAATTAAAATAAAATTTCACAATAAACAGAAGTAAATAGAACCTGTGGTGGTGGAAATCAATGAAAATGGCCTAGTGGTGGCGGTAGTCTCAGGTGGTGGTTGGGAACGTAGTAACACAATAAAAAAAAACTGAAATTGACAATTTTTTACAATTAACCACTTCAATAAGCTTAAAATCGATGTTACAAGACAAAATGGACTGAAAATTGACCTGGAAATAGCTTGCTGTCGCCGGAAAAAGTTTGGTGTTGCTGGAAAAGCTTGGTCCTGACCGGAAAATCTTTCTCCACCGGTGGTATCTTCTTGGTGGAAAATTTCACCCACCTAAAATTGATAATTCTCACTGGTATCCCACAATAATCGGCGAAGTAAGATGCAGACGAGAGAAGAAAAACATGCGAAGGGAGTGAAACAGAAAGAGCAAAAGGAAAAAGATAGAGTTTTTTGGGGTTAACTGCGTCGACCTTTAGCGACGACAACTTTACCGGCGACAAATTGGACTTTAGCGGCGACAACTATCAATAGCGGCAACTATCAGGAGGGAAATATTACCGCGTCACTTTTTTTATCTTTAGCGGCGACAAAAGTCGCCGGTATTTCCTTTATGCATTCTACGAGCACCTTAGCCGTTGGATTAGAACAACGATCGGACGATTCGTGTTTGCCAGAACGTTAAAGAGCAGATCGGTGTCATTCAGCATTTAGCAGTGACACAGGCCTTTAGCGACGACTTTTTAATCTGTCGCCGCTATTGGTGTCGCCGCTAAAAACGCTACTACTCAAAAGTTGTAGCTTTAAACAGATAATGGTTTACATATAAAAACATATTAAATCTAATAAATTAAGTATGATATGTTAAAAGTTAAAGATATAACTTTATAAGTAGAAGTAAAGATATTATTTTAAAATTAAAATTTATTTTATTTATGATTACACTTTAGGTTTGATATGTGTTTAACCTTATTAACCAATTTATAATCATTATTAGAAAGACATTATAATTTATCACTTTTAACTATTTACAAAGTATTTTTTGTTTTGTTCAAGTTAAACTAAAACTATTATTTAAGTTGATCCTGTAAGGTTATATATAAATTAATAATTTAAGTATTTATACAAATTGTTCCATAATCATATCTTTAAAACGATAATTGTTTATATCCAACAATATATTAAAACTAATAAATTAAGCATAATATGTTAAAAGTTAAAAAACATAACTTTATAAGTATAAGTAAGAATATTATTTTAATATTAAAATTTAGTTTATATATGATTACATTTTAAATTTGATATTTATTTAACTTTATTAACCAACTTATAAATATTATTAGAAATATATTGAAAAGTCATGGAAGTTTCAAATGAATGTGATGAAAGAAAAAATACATGAGAGTTTCAAATAAATAGTTGAAGTCTTTACACATATATGTTCTTTTAAATATAACCATAACATTGTTGTTGAATATGATATAATAATTCTTATAATAAATTCATATAATATTTAATGCTTTTGAATTTTATGATAATATATACATCTATTATAACTGTATAATCTCAATCGTTTAAATGACTTCTACCCGTGAATTACACATGAATAAAATTAAATATAATATATAATTTATTGTTATTTATAGTTGTTGTTATTGTTAATTAATTTCTTAAAATTTATTTGTTTAATGCTTTAATTTCTATAACTATAATTATTATAAAACATCAAATATTCTTTTTTGATTTTAAAGGTAACAATATAATCATTTACATAGAGTTATTTTTAACTATTGTTATTGTAAGTTATTTTAAGCTACTTATTTGAAAACTTTTAACGATTATAAAAGTATCTTTAGGAAATATTTTAGTTAAATTGAGATTACAATTTGTTTTTTTTCGTTTTGTTTTGATTTTTTTTTTTTTTTTTTTTTTTTTGCATTTTTCATTAGAATTTATCACTTTTAATTATTTATAAAATATTCTTTGGTTTTTTATATGGAATTGAAATTTATATTTAAGTTGACATTGTAATGTTATATTTAAATTAACAATTTAAATATTTTGTCTAAACAGTTCAAAAGTTGTAACTTTAAACATATTATGGTTTACATACAAAAACATATTAAATCTAATAAATTAAATATAATATGTTAAAAGTTAAAGACATAACTTTATAAGTAGAAGTAAATATATTATTTTAAAATTGAAATTTAGTTTATTTATGATTACAATTTAGGTTTGATATTTATTTAACCTTATTAACCAACTTATAATCATTATTAGAAAGACACTATATTTTATCACTTTTAACTATTTATAAAAATATTCTTTAGGTTGTTTAAGTTAAACTAAAATTTATATTTAATTTGACTCTATAATTTTATATTTAAATTAATAATTTAAGTATTTTAAACAAATTATTCTAAAATTGTATCTTTAAAATGATAATAATTTACATCTAATAATATATTAAAACTAATAAGTTAAGTATAATTTGTTAAAAGTTAAAAACCATAACTTTATAAGTAGAAATAATGATATTATTTTAATATTGAAATGTAGTTTATATATGATTACACTTTAAGTTTGATATTTATTTAACCTAATTAACCAAATTATAATAATTATTAGAAACAATTTGAAAAATCATGAGAGTTTCAAATGAATGTGGTGAAAGGAAAAATGCACGAGAGTTTCAAATGAATATAGTGAAATGAAAAATGTTTCCTTTATAAATATCTAATTGTTGTATATATATTACCTATAATAATAAATTACTTTCTTATTCTTTATTAAAATCCCCATATATATATATTACTAAGTCGACGTATAACACAACTATTTTTGCAGTGTTGTTTATTTTAATTTAAAAATGTAGCATATGCATGAGGGGTTTGTAAAATCATATTGGAAAATGAGGAACTGCTGCATGAATAAGAAAAGCCATTGCGTTCACAGATGCTAATGATTATAAAACCCTAGAACTCAACAGGTCATGAAACCAGATAGAGAATCATAGATGTGGATATTCTTATATTCTCTCACCTGCAGAAGCTCTAACCAAATTACGTCCTCGTATTATGATTTATTCTGTCTTATTAGTAGAATCATTAGATGATTAATGACCAAAAATTATGGTCACTGAATACTCTTCTCTTTTCAAACCTACCTAAACGTCATGTGGAGGGACCGTGACGAAACAATATGGTTATTGAAATACATAATGAAAAAAGGTTGAGTCACTAACTATATATAATTTTTATTCATAGTGCCTAACTCTAAAAATGACCAACTTATATTTACTTTTAGAGTAAATTACACGAATGGTCCCTATGGTTTAGGATAATTTGCGCGTTTGTCCCTAACTTATTTTTTTAACTCGGAAGGTCACTACTGTTTGTTTTTGTTACGCACTAGGTCCCTGTCTTACATAAAAAGTCTATTTTTCCCTTTATTTTTTAATTTATTTAAATAAACACACCCCTAATCTCACCCTTCTCACTTTACCTTACGTACCCCATCATTTTTTCCTATTTAAATAATAGTCTTTTGAGGTATGACAGGGACCAAGCGCGTAACAAAAACAAACAATAGGGACCAAACACATAATAAAAAAATCAGTAGCGACCTTCCGAGTTAATAAAATAAGTTAGGGACCAAACGCGCAAATTACCCAAAACCATAGGGACCATTCATGTAATTTACTCTTACTTTTATAGGGAAAAAGATTTCATTAAAATAACCTTAAAAAATCACCAACATATAGTTACTTTTAACGGCAACACATGTCATCAAACCACAAGGATAAAAACGTAACTTACCCTAAAATACGAGTGGCAATATAAGACAGACAAACCATTTCACGTATGAACGGATGCAAAGGAATCTCTCCCATCGTTTCAGTGTCGTTCTCATCCACCATCTGCAAGCCCTAAACCTTCCCCAATCTCCAATTCATCATCGCCAAATCAAATTTCTACTACTTAGGGTTTTTGTGTCAGACGAGATTTTCAAGGATCCGGAGAATGGCAAGTTCGACAACCAACATTGTATATACCCAAGTCATCACGTTATCAACAAAGTCCGAGAAGAATTCATCAAAAATATGGTCCTGGCGAAAGCCTTACTTCTTACTTACGACAATGTTTGTACCTACGTCCCCTTCCACCGACTGGCACCGCCACCATCTTCCCCACATCCTTTGGTATCTTTTTTCTCTGTCTCAATCGGTTTTCCCATTGTGATTTCATTGATTGGATGAGATTTTGAGAGAATGTTACATGGACAGTTGAATTTACGTTCTTATGATCAACATCTAGGGACACGATTCATCTTCTCCCCATTCAATAGAATGTACACAACAGTTGTTCGATGAAATGATTACATGAACTGGGAGTGTATTTTGAGTATATCTATCTCCAACTATTCATAATTGGTGAGCTCTCTCCCTTTCTTTCCCTTTCTCTCTCTCTCTCTCTCTCTCTTCAATTTGTTTTACTCGGTCCAGGTGTAACAAACTCATCCTAATTGTGCATTAGTCAAGTTTCTTACCATGTTATAGATATAATTCATTGGGTAAAGACATTGCAAATTACTATATCTGTGAAGAAAACTTCAATTTAAAATCTTGGGAAGATGGGCTTCTAATTCAAATTTGTAGTTCTATGTGAACAAAATGTTTGTATGTTCAAAGATCAAATGAACTATAAAAATCAACAAAATGTTGAATAGGCATGGTATCCATTGGAATTGGATCGTATTTTTGATAAAATGAGTGTGCATGATTAGGGCGACATTAGTCCTACATTAAACGGATGATTTTTATGTGTTTAACATGATTAATGATACATACAAATGGCACAGGTAATGTTTTGGTCCTGCTTTCTTTAATCATTACTATTTTCTTTAGTTGTTTACTTGGTTTCTTGTTTGTGGTGTTCATTGTTGTTGTTCAGGCACATGGTCATGGCCCATGATATGGCAACTGATAACTAGTTACTGTTAGTGGAAATTATGATATGCCATTGAAAGCAAAAAGTTATCTGCCATGGATCGATATGGTAATCTTTGCTATTTTATTATTATAATCCTCAACTTTATTTAGAAACTAAACTTTGTAAAAATAATATATATTTTTAATTATTATAATATTTTGTTTCTACTGACAGGAATTCTAGATGACTTGTTTGCATTGTCTATGGCTGGCTAGTTGCCTTTATCTTCTTTGCTTACATTGATGGGTGCTTACAGAGAGGAACCTGATTATACAATGTTGTCAAACTTAATCAGTGTAATGACTAATGACTACTCTACCCTTGTCAATACCTGTTTTAGTCTGTATCATTTTCAGTATGAAGATGAGGAGGTCATTCATGTCTTTTTGATGCTTATATTTCTTTTGGCTATCATAGGTTAGCTCTAAAGTTGCAAGAATTGTGGCTGATGCTGATAACACATTGTTGGACAACATTAAGATGTTTTTCATCAACCTTTTCCAATACTCTGCAGAGTTAGTTTTTTTTTAACTCTTACTATTAATGATTTATATGCATACTATTGGGTTTAATTTATTTTCTTCAGTTGTTTACTTGGTTTCTTGTTTATGGTGTACAATCTCGTTGTTCAGGCACATGGTCATGACAATCTTTTGCATAGTGATGTTGATGTGGTTTTCAATAATATCGGTGAACTAAATTTGGTCTTCAACTTCTGTAAGGTACTTCAATTTTTCTTTTTTGATATAATGAATATTTATGTTTTGTTTGCTGTTATTTTCTATATCTAAGACCTAATTGTGATTTGTTAAAAGTTGTACTTGATTTTAGACGAGTATTAGGTAATAATTTTCTGGCCTAAATGATGTATCACATTAAAATATTTTATTTTATATAAAAATATTAAGTATAACATAACTAAAACTCGTTTATCCAAACAATAAGTCATCCAGAAAATCATCTTTTGTCAAGGTTGTTCAATTCTTCGCTGAACCAACACATGATGGTTCTCCCTCTTACCCCACACCAACACATGCTTAAATTGTTGACATTATGTTTCATTTGTAGGGTGCTTTTATAAAAAGCTTAGAATCTGGTCCTTATGGAAATGTCACTGGTGTTTAGCTTGAAAATGGATCTACCATTGAAGCAAATTTGGTGAATTTCACTGTTTGTTCTAATGACTTCTTGATTAACCTTAAGTGCATGAAAGGTAAAAATGGGTGTGTTTCATTTCTCATTAAGTGTATTAAAGGTTCTGGAGGGGTAGTTCCCAGCACATTAGTTTTATATAGGGAAATGTAATTTGAAGCTTATAAGTTATCTCTTGTGATAAGTAATTGGTATGATACATTGATGAACATTTTTTGTTTTTCACATTCAGGTTAAGTAATGGGGGCTTTGTGGTGAAATCAAAGAGGATGGAAAGCAAAAGGATGCAATTGTATGCCTACAAGTAACACATATATGGTTTTTTGTTAAATAAAGATGTTCAAGCATTGTGGATGGTGTTATGTATGAGTTTCAAATAAGGGTTAAAAGTTTCCAAATTGATGATGACCAAAATACTAGTGATGAAGGAGAAAAGATTTCACTGAATTTGCATCTTATCAAGCAAAAATCGAGGTAACACCCACCCCCACCATTTCATGTGCAAAAGACAAGAATGCCTTTCTCATTAAACGAAAAAACCTAAATGATGTCTTTGTTTTGTAGGCAAGTAGGCAGTTAGAAATGCAAAAGTCAATTAAAAAGGCTTTAAAGGAAGCTAGTCACAAGGCCTCCAAACAAAAGGGCTTGATAACGATCTATATCACATTCTTTTGTAACTATTATTTGTGTACAGTTTATAAAATGAGTAAGTTGGTTAGAATTGGAAAACTTACTGTTTTTGGAAATCTATATTGGTGGTTGTTGTTCTTAACTTTGTTCTAAGATTCATATGATGTTCTAGCCATTTCAGTATTGTATATTTTAGGTTCGCTTAAAGTTACTTAAACTGGTTAAATACAAGAAATTGCAACAAAAAATAATGACTTTTTTTCGTAACGAATTGGATAAATTAGTGACGACTTTTTTATGGTCACTAGTTGGATAAGCTAGTAACCAGTGACGATTTTTTATGGTCACTAATTAGATAAAACAGTAACGACTTTTATTTATTAGTGACAACATTTAATGACGAAACAGTAGTCATAGATTTAGTGACCATTATATTTTGGTCACTATTTAGTGACCGCTTTTATATTTTGGTCACTAATCAGTTTTTGTGACGGCCCTATAGTGACCACAAGTGACGACCAAAAGTTTGGTCACTAAATGATATAGTGACAACTCCTTCAATTGTTATTGATCATTTCGTTTTCGTCACTAATTAGCATTTTTTTTTGTAGTGATATAGATAATGATTTCATTCGTTAAACAATGAAATTTTGAATATCGAATTGTTGTATATATATTACCTATAATAATAAATTACTTTCTTATTCTTTATTAAAATCCCCATATATATTACTAAGTCGACGTATAACACAACCATTTTTGCAGTGTTGTTTATTTTAATTTAAAAATGTAGCATATACATGAGGGGTTTGTAAAATCATATTGGAAAATGAGGAACTCCTGCATGAATAACAAAAACCATTGCGTTCGCAGATGCTAATGATTATAAAACCCTAGAACTCAACGTGTCACGAAACCAGATAGAGAGAATCATAGATGTAGATATTCTTATATTCTCTCACCTGCAGAAGCTCTAATCAGATTACGTCCTCGTATTATGATTTATTCTGTCTCATTAGTAGTAATACTATATTCCTTTGTCAAAGATCGTGCGTTGGCGGGTTTTTAAATTATCCCACGATTATTCCGTCATTGTCAATGCCGATCTATGCAGGGTTTTACGCAAAAATAGCAAATCATCGTCTTGGAACTGAAAAATTACCCATTCGAAGACTTCGATTCGACAACCGGGAACATCGGCGGGAATATCTGGCGCACGTTGTTTTCGCTCGTTCTTCTCTTCCGCAAGACTGGTGTACGTGTTTCTTCTTCTTATTATTATTTTTCATATAATCTATGTTTGGTAGCCGAAATCGGAACATATGGTTCAATAAACAAATTTATCTGGATGGAATAACATGTGTCTCTCATTTTTAGTATGTGAACGTGACAATGATTTTGATGTACAATGCACTGTTCTAGCCGATATTTTCTTTCAACATCCAATTGGATCTATTTTTTGATCCATCTCATACTCATTGGAGAAAATAAACAATAAAACTGAGAGCTATTTTTGTTTTTTTTCTTCAATTGAATCATTGAAGGAATATGTGAACTATTTATCTCTGTCCTAATGATACATGTTATAGTCATTGACATCGAAAGAAATTGAATCTTACAGTTTTGAATCTTGAATTGATCAATTGGCCCAATTATACATATATATTGCTTGCTTAATTGTCATTGATGTTCAAAGAAAATTCTTGCATTGATATCTTTGAAGCTGTAAAATCTGGTTATAGTCTTATAGATAACTACTAAATGGAGCTTATTTGTTCTCTTTCCCTCTCTTGTTGAAACTTTTCTGCATATATTGAACATCTTTCTTTGTTCCATGATCAGATCACTTTCCACAAGTAAAAAAAAATACTTGATAACTACCAAGTTGGTTGTTTCACTGTACTTGTCCAAATACACAACAAAATTAGTAATTCAAAGCTTATTTGTTTAAAATATCCCGGTTTTAATAATCCCACATGTTGAATAGTGTTTTAGAAGTTCTAATTTTGCCTACATCATGTAGGACCTATTGAGTTTCCATATGTACTAATCTTTATATTAAAAGTATGTTAATCAAAACGCCAAACTTGCCTAAATTACACAATTTAGAAATCTAGAATCTTCAACCAAACAAGAATCAAATAATAACAGACGTGGTTGATCTTATATGTTTCACTTGAACAAAAAATGGAAGCAGAAGACCTCAATGATGATTGCCATTGATTATTAGAAAGCCTGCAGCACGTGGTGTTGGAGAATTAAAGGTTGAATGTCAAATGAGGGGAATTTTGGTTTGGTGATTTAAGAATTATAATGATCGGCAAATATATCAAAATATTACACATTCTTTCCTTGTTTGCAAGTTTTTAATCCAAAATTATTATGTTCTTTTGCATGTGGTCAACTTCTTATCCAGTTTCTGGGCCACAATTTAATTAGTTTTCATAAAATAAGGCTTTACATTTGCATGTAACATAGTTCCACTTTATTAAAGATGTTTGTATTTTTTTTATTATGATAATAACGACACTAATGACTAAACATAAGGTAATGTAGTTAAATATTTGTCTGGCTCTAGTTCTTTTGAAAGTTGTCTTCATTTTTTGTCACAAATTAAACATGCATAGTTAGCTAATACCTGTCTCTCGCTTTAACAGTTAACACAATCTCATATAACTATAGTCAAACAAATGACAGATATACCCTTGTCAATGATTGCCCTTTCGACACTTGTAATTATGTTTTCTAATCTGATTTAAAACTTCTGAAAGGTTACATTAAGCCCAAAAAATAGTCTGGACAGCTGTACAAACCCCTGAGACAGGCTCTTAATAGTAGTTTATAAAAAACGGATCTCATATGTGATATACTTTAAGACAAATAATATTATTAAACAAACAAACCAATCATTTCCCACTCTCCCTAACTATATATATCACTTTTCATACTGTTTCTTTTCTTCCAACCATTGTTCAAAATACATCTTAAAAATCAACAAATTGCAACTTCTTTCCACTTTCAGCAAGGATGGAATTGGAATCTGTGACTTCAATGTTAGGAGATTGGAACTCCTTCAATGGAGTAAATGTCAGTGATGAGGCTTATTTTATGTCACAATTGCTTGATAATTTTTCAGTTCCAAATGAATCACAGAATTCTTCTCCCTTTGAAGTTTCTTCTACATTTTGGCCTCATCATGAGGTCGATGAAACTTGGGTTGATTTGTCACAAGATAATGAATTGTCTGTAAATTCTAGGAAACGTTCTAGTAGCATGGCTGATGTAAGTTATTAAATGTTTTGCAAGTTTAACTTTATTTAATCTCTTGAATTTATTTTAAGTTTTTTATAATGATTTGACCTATGTAGGTGTATGAGAACGTGGAAAAGATAAAGTGTAGAAAAAGTCAGAAGCTTGTTTCTAATAACAGCAAAGATGAAGGTGACAATGATGCAGTTTTTGGACAAACTACGAAAATATATGGATCTGATGAAGACTCAAATTGGTCTCAAGATTCAATAAGTCCAAGGCCAAAACAGGTACAAATTTTGAAGACAAGAGCAAGAAGAGGGTCAGCGACTGATCCACAAAGTGTCTATGCACGGGTAAATGCGTCAATCTAAAATTTCATAAATTAATTTTACATTTTTTTCGAAAGTGAAACATAAAAAAAGTTAATCAATTTGTGTTTTTTGCAGAAAAGAAGAGAAAAAATTAATGAACGTTTAAGAATATTACAGAATCTTGTTCCTAATGGGACAAAGGTTGATATAAGCACAATGCTTGAAGAGGCTGTTGAGTATGTGAAGTTTTTGCAGCTTCAAATCAAGGTGATAAACAAAACCTAATTACATATTATTTTTATGTTTTTGAAATTATTGATCTATGGATCCTAATATTTTATGATGTTTTCAGTTGTTGAGTTCTGATGATATGTGGATGTATGCGCCTATTGCATACAATGGAATGGACATTGGGATTGACTTAACAACAATCAGATCTTTATCATCAAGTTGAGTGCAAAAGTTGCAATATTAAAGTTTGTTAAGTTTCTCTGGAATAAAGGGTAGTTTATATATTTTTAGTTTAGAAAATATAAAAGAATAAAAATCTATAGAAGAAGCTTTTATGCTCATTATTGCTTCATTATGTACATCATGTAAATATTCCATGATTCAGGATGATGCATACATGTCTTCTTAATTTGAAGTTTAAAACTGCTTATGTTGAAAGACATTGTTGTGATTCTTTTGGACAACTAGACAGTAGACAATACATAAAACTCAACGAGATTAATATTTAATTATCGATCGAATAGCTGGATGGATGGGAAGATTTTAATA